CCAATCGCGAGAGACGGGCTAAGATTGGCGAAATTTGGGCAGACTGAAAAAAGGGTTGCATTTCGGGCCCATTTTTTTTACCAGCAGGCCTAAAAAGGCTCATCTCTAACAATCGTTAATTACCCTTGTCTATGCTGTGTGGCCGTGAAACTTTCCCAACGATCTGCACGTTTAGAGCTCTTGCAATCTTACCGGAATTCTATCAGAATTCTATTGCCAAAATATGCGGTGACCTCAATAACCATTTTAGCTGACACATGAAATAAGATAAACGGGTTTGTAAATCAGTAACGGTGGATAATAAGCTAACTTATTATTTCATTATTTCTGTCATGATGGACTTTATAAATAACTGATCAATGACTTATCGGCCACTCTACGCATTGTATGCTAAGGATTAAGCCAATAGTATCGTTACTTGGTTACCATGCGTTGCTTTCAAAACAGTGTGAGCAGTTGTTAAATCAAAACGTCTTTGTAAAGTTTTCTGTACGTGAGCAATGTAAGCTATAATTGGTAAAGGTTAAGTTTCATGGCATTAAATTTGCAACGTTGCCTTGTTAATATAGACTCCCTGGCGTTTGTTGGTGAACAATCTCCCAATAAACTTCCGTGCTCATGCAACGGCTTGGTCTGGTTATCGCTACAATTGAGTCCTGAACTTCGGGGTAAATGATTTGAGAAGAAAACTTGATAAGAACAAGAATGCTGTCTCTAATAAATAATAACAAATATTTAGATGGTAACTAGAAAATATATCGATATATCTCCCTAGCATAGTATCGAACAGGAAGCAGAATTAGAGATTAGCAACATAGGTTGCCAACTGAAAAAATTTCGGCGATGTATTCCGGTTCGGCGATGTCACGACACATCACAATTTCAAGTTCAGAATATCGAACCACTATTTCCTAATTCAAATTTCCTTATCACTCAACTTGACAATGATGACTGAAGCAATCTATGAAACCTCTTTCATCCCACTATCATGGGTCGAATCATTGACCACAAAAAAGAAAAAACAACGTCTCGGGGTAACTAGAAGCCGATGATAAACAAGTAAACAGTGAATTTTTTCTTTTGTAAAAATGCTTGGAACATTGACGATCAAAAGCAAGGTGTTTAGGTTGTTTAGTGACGCCAGCCGTCGGCGGATATTAACACTTAATATTCTGGATTTAGCGCACGCAATAACTGTTTTGTTATGTCTTTCAATATTTGATATGTGAAGGAAATGTCTTCATAAGTTAAGCCTGCATTAAAATGTGGCAACCAAATCCGTTTTATTTCAACACTCCATTAATTCGATGGGACAGCTACGATTCTGTGTTCCTCTTTTGTCCCGACAATATCTTCTTTAGATTGCTTTTTTTCTAAGCCGTTCTAGAGTTCAACCCCATTTCGCTTTTTCCGCATTTACGAAGTTCAATTCTATGATTAATTTTCGCGGTCGGAAATGCCACTTTCAGGGCAAAAATAGCTTCTGTTATGTGGCTATACTTCAATTAAATCCAATACTCTCTTGTCTGATATGATTTGACCGCTTTACTCGTCAAAATTGTAGAACGGCAGTTGTGAGTATCCCAAGTGATGCACCCTAATTTTTAACAGAAGTAATTTTCGTCCCAAAATAAACTATCAGACCAAACTGGCAATATAGTTCAAAGTCACCAAAGTTGCCTTTTCGTGGTATGTTAGACTGGGTACTTGAGTTTGACAAAAATATCGATGATTTCCTTATAGACTCATAGGTAATTTCATCTTTATTCTCTCTTAAAACATGATTCAAAGACGTGATTTGATGTTGAATTACTAACAGCAGAACTGTTCGTCAGACCCAATTTTTAATTTATAAATCTAAGTTGTAAGCTTGAATTTGCATTCTCTTTAACTCTCAAGAGGATTCGAGATCTGTTCCCTCCCCTAAAAGAGGATGAGATGCTCTCTCGTTAAAGGACTACTGACTCCACAGAACTATTTATTTACAGAATGAAACTGCGCTAGAAAGAATAGATATCATAATGTTGAGAGTGAAAGATTTCACAAATCTCTGATGTCATTTAAATCGAAAACAGACTCGAAAATGCTGAAGTGTAAACTGTGATGTGAAATTGTTTCAATAAAACTTGATACAATTAGTTGAAAAGAGCACCCAGGTTTCGATTTTCATAGTATGAATTTCAGATGCGACTGATATTCTGCGGCGCTGGTGTTTGTGTGTTTAACTCTGTAACCCCTGAGGGTGACCAGCGTCTGATTTCTCCCTACGGTATCGCT